TGACTCTTTCAACTGCTGAAGCGGAGTTCGTAGCAGTAACCTCCTATGCTTGTCAAGCAATATGGATGAGAAATATTCTTGGCAAACTTAACTTTTCACAAAAAGATGCCACTCCATTTTACTGTGACAACAATTCAGCAATCAAACTCTCAAAGAATCTAGTATTACACGGAAAAAATAATTGAAGTCATTTATTGTAAAAATGAAGACCATGTTGCTGATATCTTCACAAAGCCCTCTCAAAGTTGCTGCATTCACAAAACTGAAAAGTTTACTTGGTGTCTGCAATTTGAAGAGCTTAGTTTGATAATAAGCATAAACTGAAATTATTTTTAGTTTAAGGGAGGGAATGTTAGATATTTTTACTAATTAAGTATTTTTTACTGTATTCTGTTTTGAGTTGTCATATTTTTTAAGGATATGATTTTTTTATTGGATAAAAGATAACGAGTTGAGTTAAAGTAGGAGTTTATTAGTTATAGAATTGTGTTATATTTTTTTAATGTTTTATGGTCATGTAATTGCCTATAAAAAGGCATTGCTTTGCTGAATAAAAGTGCAGCTTTCATTTTTCTACATCTGCTCTAGGTGTAACACCAACTTCAGGTTTGTCAAAGCATGAAGAATTTATGTTGAATGAACACATCCGAATGAGAATCTAGCACTTCAGCTTATAACTACTGTTCTTGTAGATAACAACTACCACTCATGGTTTCGTTCAATGAAGTTAGCATTAACTTCTAAAAATAAAGAGAGTTTTATAGATGGATCGATTCTTGTTCCAAACAAGGACAATCCTCTGTATGGAGCATGAAAGAGGTGTAATACTCTCGTCCTATCCTCGATCATGAGGTCTGTATCTCTTTCAATAGTTCACAACCTAAGATAAGGAAACTATTCAGTCATTGAGTACTTCACCCAGCTTAAGATTTTGTGGGACGAGTCATCCAACTTGCAGCCATCATGTGAATCTCAATCATAATTTGTAAATAGTATATATTATGAAAAAGACAAAATCATAAGATTTCTCAAAGGACTTAATGAGTCCTTTAGTGTTGTGAAATCGCAAATACTGATTATGGAACCATTGCCACATTTGAATAAGGTGTTTGCTTTAGTGATTCAACACGAACGTAGTCTCAATACTGAAGCCCATGCGCAATGGTATGAATCAAGCATCCTTTATACAAATACAATTTTTGAACCACAACAAAAGACAGGGAACAATTACAGTCTGGAAAATTTAATGAACAATACTAGAACCGACAACAAACGACTTACTTGCACTCACTGTAGATTTATTGGTCATACACTGGACAAATGTTATAAAAAGCATGGATATCTTCCAGGCTACAAACCGAGACAGAGAAATATGTTTAATGTCAATCAAATTAGTGCTCAGATAATGAAAACAGAATCTGAACTCAAGAATTCTCAAGTTAAGTCCAATTCTCAAGGCCATAACTTAGAAGACTTGTATTCTCATTCACAAAACATCAGTACCAAAAAATATTAGCCTTAATGCAGCCTTTAGCATCTACATCAACCAAAAAATATAGTACCATAGGTGAATAGCCTTACTGCCAGCTTTCAAGCTACACAAACACCAGGTATTGCTTCATCTTCTTTACATCTAAATACTACATTAAACGAATGGATCATTGATTCATGTGCTATAGACCATGTGGTCAGGACAATTGAGATGTTTACCTTGTGTAGATCTGTAGACAACATGTTATGATATTACCTAACTCTAAAATAGTTCTTGTTACTCATGTTGGTGATGTCTATATCTCTCCCACATTTGTTCTTCATAATGCACTATATACACCAAAAGTTTCCCTCAATTTGATATTTGTTAGTAGATTGTTGACAGATTTTTCTTATTATTTAACCTTTTACAAAATAGCTATTTAACTCAAGATGTTCATGCTCAAAACATGATTATTTTAGCTAAAGAATAGTAAGGACTGTATTACCTTGGGCAAATAGAACCAAAAGCATGAATATTGTAAATGTCATTAAGTCTTGTTCTTCTGATTGTTCCCTTAACAACTCTAGTTTTTCTCATTGTACCAATGTTGTTAATAAGTATAATCTTTGGCACTATCGTCTTGGTCATCCTTCTACACTAAGACTTTCTTCAATCATCAATTGGATAAATCTGTTTCTTCTTGTACTGCCTTTCTATGATGTTTTTTATTTCAGCAAGCAAAAAAGACTTTCATTCCTTGTACGCCAACCTATTAATAAACATTCTTTTGATATTGTTCACATTGATATTTAGGGTCCTTCATCCATTCTTTTTTTATGTGGTCACCATTATTTTCTTACCATGTTTTATGATAAAAGTCTATACACACGGTTGTGTCCTATGAAAGGAAATGAGAAGTGAAAACAATTATGACAATTTTTTTTTTTTACATATCTGAGAACTCAACTGATATAAAAATAAAGTGTGTCTGCACCGATAATGACCAACAGTTCAAATTAACAGAATTTTTTGCTACCAAAGGAACAATACACCAGTGTTCTTGCCCATACACATGACAACAAAATGGTGTGGTTAAAAAAAATCAACATATCATGAATATGGCAAGATCAGTGATGTTTCAAGCTAATCTTCGCAAGAAATTCTGGGCAGATTGTGTGCTGTATGCGACTTATTTAATCAACTTGTTACCTTCTCCGGTCATCAGCAATAAGTCTCCATTTAAAATTTTATTTCATTGTCCTCCTAAATATCATCACTTGAGTTTTTTGGATGCTTATGTTATGCATCTAATTTCAGTCCCAAGAGGTCTAAACTTGATTACAAATCTTCTAAATGCATTTTTATTGGATATCCTTCTCAAACCAAAGGGTATCGAGTGTATGATCTTAAATCCAACAAAATGTTTGTTTCTCGAGATGTCTATTTCTCTGAGAATAATTTTTCTTTTGCCTCTCTTTCTGATAAAAAGACAATCATGTTTGTCTTTCATTATACCAATAATTTAATGACATCATATAGTGATCAATTTCAGGATCTGTAGCATTAAGGTAATGTAGTTCTGAACAACTCCGGTGAATAGATTCCTTCTGGTACTACTTCTTTACATTCCTCAAATAATTCTTTTATTCATTCTGATAATACTTTTAAAATTTTTTCTATTAACACTAGTGAAAACAATGTTTCTCATTCCTATTTTCCTAGTCATACAAAATATGCCTTCCATTTTACAAACTTGAAAGTCTATAAGGTCCACAAAGCAATCATCTCATTTGCATGATTATTATCTATATGGTCTTAAGTCTTGCATTAATTATATTTCTACCTCACATTGCATTTCATATACACTTTCATACAATTATCTTGACGTCATGCATAAGCCATTTATTTTTTCCATCACACAAGACATTAAACCTAAAACCTATCATCAAGCAATACAATTTCAATGTTGGAGATGCAATGTCCAATGAGATTAAGGCCGTAGAAGAGAACAAAACTTGAGAATTAGTTGATTTGTCTCTCGGTAAAAAGCCAATTGATTGTAAGTGGTGTATAAAGTTAAATAAAAGACATATGATTCTGTTGATAGATACTAAATATTAATAATGCATTTCTTCATGGTGACTTACATGAAGAAGTTTATATGACACTACCTCATTGTTTTAATGCGATAGAGACCTAGGTATTCAAGCTTATTAAAAGCCTTTATGGTCTTAAGCAAGCAAGTAGGTAGTGGCCTTTCAAATTGACTGATGCATTAAAGAAGCTTGATTTTGTGTAAGTTGCTTCGGATTCTTCCTTATTTTACAAGTATACAGATTCTTCATTCATTATTCTTTTTATATATGTTGATGATGTCATCTTAGTGATAGTATGACTGAGGTTCATATGGTAAAATATTTTCTTCATATTTAATTTAAAATTAAGGATGTTAGTGAACTTCAGCTTTTCTTAGGATTTGAAGTTATTCGTTCGTCAAAAATTATTAATGTTAGTCAGAGAAAATATACTTTGAATTTACTTAAAGATATTGGATTCTTGGGTTGTAAACCTACTTCAAAGCCTATGGCATCATCAACAAAATTAATATGGCAAGATGGTTCACCTCTTGTAGATGTTACTTCATACATGCAGCTAGTTGGTAAACTCATGTATCTTACCGACACAAGACCTGATATTAACTATTCAGTTCATCAACTTTCACAATTTTTTGATGCTCCTATTAAATACATCTATAAGTTGCACATTGAGTTTTAAGATACTTAAAAGGGACACCAGGCCAAGGTCTTTTTTATTCTACACAAACTTATTTACATCTCATAGCTTTTAGTGATTCTATTGTTTTATTTAAAGTTGAAAGAAATAGAGGAAGAAGAAGATGCATAACTTAGACTTTATGTTGATGAAAAACTATTTATTTGATCAGCAGTAGTACATTTAAATAGCAAAAATAGAGGATAAAAATATGATCTTAGGATAAAGTTACAAACCAGGAACCATATTATCAACATCCTAAAGAATAGGTCTGCTTTATTGATTGAGTCCAATAAAGAAAAAAATCACGTGCAGTTCAAAAACACGTTTTAACACTCCTCCTTGCTTTTGGAACTGCAAACACCAATTCTTTGCCTTAGAAGCTCGAACTTGCTGATGGGAAGAGGCTTTGTAAACAAGTCTGCTAGCTGATCTTTAGACTTACAGTAAATTAGTGTCATTTTTTCATTTTGCTGCACCTCCCTCAAAAAATAGAGCTTGATGTTGAAATGCATGGTTTTCCCATGAAACACTGGATTGTTTGAGATTGCAATGGCTGCTTGGTTGTCAACAAAAAATTTAGTACTTTCTTTCTGCTCTATATTTAAATCACACAAGATTTTTTTTAACCATAAAACTTGATTTGCAGCAGCTGTTGCTGCTATAAATTTAGCTTATGCAGCAGATTGTGCTATATAATCTTCTGCTTCTTAGAACACCATGAGAAAGCCCCTGAGCCTATATTGAAATAATATCCTGAAGTGCTTTTCATATCATCAACTGATCCAATCCAATCACTATCCGAAAAATCACACAACTTGAAATTTTTATATCTTTTAAACTGAACTCCATGATCAACAGTACCTTTGACATACCTTAATATTATTTTTGCTGCAATTAAATGCATTTCACTAGAGCAATGCATAAATCGAGATAAGAGACTTACAGTAAATAGAATGTCAAGCCTTGTTGCAGTGACGTACATAAAACATCCAATCAAACTCCTGTAATAACCTTCCTCAACTTTATCAGCTCCATCTTCCTTGCTTAGTTTCTCCTTTTGATTCATTGGTGTGCTTACTGCCTTGCATTCTTCCATCTTAAACTTCTTTAAGATTTCCTTTGTATATTTTTTTTTTACCAATGAACACTTCATTTTCTTCTTGTCTGATCTCCATTCCGAGAAAATAGGTCATGAGACCAAGATCTGTCGTTTCAAAACCTTTCATCATTTCTTTTTTGAACTCTTTAACCAGCTTTGTATTATTTCCTGTCACCAGAAGATCATCAACATATAGGGACACAATGAGTGTGTCATTATTTTTATGTTTCACATAAAGAGTGGCCTCAGATAAGCTTTTAACAAAACCAAGACTTATCAAGTGCGCATCTATCCTGCTATACCAAGCTCTTGGTGCTTGTTTCAAACCATAAAGAGCCTTTTTGAGCAAGTAGACCTTGTCTTCTTCACCTTGCTTCACAAATCCTTCAGGCTGCTCTACATATATCTCATCCTGCAAGAAGCCATTTAAAAAGGTTGATTTGACATCCAGCTGAAATACTTTCCATCCCATTTGTGCTAATAATGCAAGCAGCAACCTTATTATCTAGCCTTGCCATAGGAGCAAAGGTGTCAGAATAATCAACACCGTATATTCGAGCATACCCTTTAACGACAAGTCTGACCTTATGTTTGTTGATAGAGCTGTCTGCATTCAGCTTTGTTCTGAACACCCATTTGATGCCAATGACCTTTCTTCCTTCAGGTCTCTTAACCAACTCCCATGTTTTATTTTTTGAAATCATAAACAGCTCCTCCTCCATTGCTTTCTTCCACTTTGAATCCTGTAATGCTTCTTCAGGATCACCAAGTTCACAAATTACCACATTATATCTTGCATCGATGTCTGAAATTGACCTTGTACCTCTAACTGGAAATCATCTTCCAGCTCTTCTTGCCATGAATCTGCTAGGTTCTCTTTAGTAACAATACTTCCTAGTTCTTTTGAATAACTATTTTTCTTCTGCAAATTTTTTCAATCCCATTGTTCATCCTCATTAAAGTGTGCGCATCTCTACTGATTGTCATTTTTGCTATTTGATGATGATACACCTTGTAAGCTTTAGAAATTGAACTATAACCCACAAAGATGCCTGAAATTACTTTTTGGTCAAGCTTGTCACGTTTTACCTGTGGCACGTGAACAAAACATACACAGTTAAATACTTTAAGAAAATTTAGCGAAGGCTTATACCCATACCAAGTTTCAAACGGAGTTTTATCTTCCAAAGCTTTGGTCGGAAGTCGATTTTGCAAAAATACTGCTGTATTGGCTGCCTCTGCCCAAAACTTTTTTGGTAACTCTTTCTCATGCAACATACATCTGGCCATCTCCATTACCGATCTGTTCCTTCTTTCGCTAACTCCATTCTATTCTGGAGTATATGGGACAGTAAGCTGATGTTCAATGCCAGCTTCTTCGCAAAATAAATTAAACTCTGCTGAAGTATATTCCTTTCCATTATCTGACCTCAACGCTTGAATCTTACAGCCACTTTGATTTTCTACCATTTTCTTGAACTTCAAAAATACACCAGCAACTTCTGATTTGAATTTCAAGAAAAAAATCCAGCACATTCTTGTGAAATCATCAATGAAAAGAATGTAGTAAAGACTAACTTGTAATGATGACGTTTTTTTGAGGTCTAGAAATATCCGTATGAATAAACTGTAATTTTTTGAAAGCTTTCCAAGTTGATTTTGAAAATGACGAACTATTATGTTTACCAAATTGACAGGCAGTACAGTCTAGCAAATAATTGTCAAGCTCCAGTAGTCCCCTTGTTAAGTCACTTTTCTGCAATCTTAACATCTTTTGAAGATGACAATGGCTAAGCCTCTTATATCAAATTTCTGTGTTGCTGGCTTTGGTAAAATAAGCTATCTGCACCATCGTAGGTTCATATGAGAAGCTTTTACCTTTCATTTTAACTCTTAAAATTTCTTTCCCAAATGCATCAAAAACAAGGCAATGGAAATCTTCAAAGGATACTTTAAATCCTTTCTCTAACAACTGACCAACACTTAATACATTTTGATCAATTTCAGGTACATAAATGACATCAGAAATTATTTTTCTACCTGAGCTGGTTGTAATTGCAACAGTTCCAATCCCTTTTGCAGGTAGATAGCCTCCGTTGCCTATTCTGATCTTCTTGATTTTTGAGGGCCTTAAATCTTTGAAGAGAGTTTTATCAAAAGTCATGTGGGTTGTACAACCACTGTCAATAAGCCAATCTTCTGAAGAACTTTTGGTTGAAAAACATGTCGCCACAAACATCCTATCTTTTTCTTCATCAGCAACTTGAGCAACTTTATTTTGGTTCTGGAATTTATTATTGTAAACCACAGCTTCATGTCCATCCTGACCACATTTGCTACATTTGGTATCTGTCCTTCTCCAACATTTGAAAGGTGGATGACCTATTTTACCGCAGTGCTGACAAGGTGGGTAGTTCTTTTTCGAATTTCTACCATTGCTGCGATTCTGGAACCTTTAGAAGATGTCACTTATGTTTTTTTGTCACTTTTCTATTTAGTTTTTTTAGCCACTAGGTGTTGGCTGGCAGAACTCCTTCGACAACATTTTCTTGCCTCATTAGCCACCTCTGATCTTGAGCTTGCAAGGCATTTAGCAGCTCTGCCAAAGTGATATTGGACAATTCCTTTGTATTTTCCAAGGAGGTAATGGTAGCTTCATATCTTTCTGACATAGTTACAAGAATTTTTTGAATAATTCTTGAATCTAGAAATTGAGTGCCAAGCAACCTTACCTTGTTTACAATGCCCAATAATCTGTCTGAGTATCCTTTGATTGACTCAAAATCTTTAATTCTCTGCAGTTCAAATTTCCTCAATAAATTCAGCACTTGCATGCCTCGAATCCTTTCATCTTCTTCGTATTCTTCTTTGAGATAATCCCAAATTTTTTTGCAGATTTAAGAGATATGATCCTTGTGAAGATATTTGCTGAAACAGCCGCAAAGAAAGTTGCATTTGCCTTGAATTTTCTGGTCTTCTTTTCCTTGTGATTTTTCATTTGGGCCACGGTAGGATTGTTTGGCAGCGGAGCGACTTCGTAATCTTCTTCCACGGCCTCCCAAAGATCCAAAGCCTCAAGGTAAGCCATCATTCTCACGACCCAGAGTTGATAATTCTCACCATCAAACACTAGAGGAGCAAAGTTGAAATAGCAGGTTTCACTCTCCATCGTAATCACAGATCCCTTAAGAAGAGAGTTTTGATACCAATTTGTTGTTTTATTTGAAGTTGAAAGAAACAGAGAAAGAAGAAGATGTAGAGCTTAAACTTTATGTTGATGAAAAATTATTTATTTGATCAGTAGTAGTACATTTAAATAGCAGGATAAAAACGTGATCTTAGGATAAAGCTACAAACCAGGAACCATATTATCAACATCTTAAAGATTAGGTCTGCTTTATTGACTGAGTCCAACAAAGAAAAAAATAAGTGTAGTTCAAAAACACGTTTTAACATATTCGAATAGGGGCTCTTGTGCTGGTTCTTGCAAGTCCCTGTGTTTTTCTAGTGTCTCACTTATTTCTTGGAAGACTAAGAAATAACTTATTATTTCTCAATCTTCCTTTGAAGTGGAATACAGTAGTGTCTTGGCTACAGTTACTTATGAAATACAATGGCTTTCTTTTTTTCTCAGTAATTTGTGTATCACTACTCATGTTGCTGCATTGTATTGTGACAACTTATCAACTATTAAAATTGTCAAAAATCCAATTTTTCATGAACGAATCAAATACAAAATATGTATACTCCAACTTGAGATGGACTATTAGAATAATAATTGAGGGTATATTTATAAATATTAAAAATTTAGGGCTATATTTGTAAATAATTTTAAATACAATTTGTATATAAATACAATTTGTTGACAAATATAAATCACTTTTTCTAGTTTACTTCATACATTCTTTTTCTCTTTTTTTACTCACTCTCTCTCAAACTTTCCAAGCAATCATTCTACTTGATTAATCTCAATTTTTCTTGATTTTTATTCATTTCCAATTCAACATCCTCACTTAATTTGACAGAAATGATGAAACATGTAAGAACTGAATAAGTCCATCACGAATTTTTTGTCGAACTACATGACAATCGTCCTCTATATGTTTAGCTCGTCATGGAAAACTAAGTTTTCAACAATTTTGACAACAAAAGAATTGTCACAATAAATCAAAGTTGTCTGAAATTGATCAATTTATAAATAACGAAACAAGTAAGTCAGCCACTGTACCTCACAGCTAATAGGAGCAAGAGCCTGGTATTCGACTTCTAAAGAGGACTTGGAAATAATTTGTTATTTCTAAATTTTATAAAAATTAAAGAATTACCAAGAAATAAACAGAAACCACTAATAGAACGATGAGAATTTATACAAAAAGCTTAATATGAATCACTAAATATTTTAAGTTGTAGAAAATTATGTGTTGAATAAAATAATCCTTAACTACGATAACTTTTCTAATATCTTAACACCTTATGTGCTGCCTCCAAACGAATCTAGGTAGGGGCTTCCAGAAACTAAGAAAGTTACTGCACATAAAAACTAATGTCTAACTTAATATTAATAAGGTATAAAAGCTTACCAATCAACTACCAATTAGAAGTGGCATTTACAATAGAAGAACCATCATCTTTAGTCAGCTTAGAAAAGGAAGCCAAGGGAATTGTGCCATTGTCTGTTCGAACAATCTTAATCATTACCTTGAATTTTCTTTCCATGAAAGCAAAGAAATTAATAATGACTTTTCTTTCTTTGGATTTGTTCTTCATAGGATACAACCAAGTATACCTACTTTTGTCATCAAAAGTTATAAGGAAGTAATGTGACCATAAGAAGAAGCAACAGAAATAGGTCCCTAAATATCAATATGGAGTAGCTCAAAACAATTATGAGAAACACATTGGCTAATAGGAAAAGTAAGTCTTTTTTGTTTACTAAAATGGCAAATGTCACAATCAAGAGATGAACAACGCAAAATGGATTTATCTATCTATTGAAGTATTTGAAGTCTTAGTTTTAAAGGATGATCAAGACGAAAATGGCACAAATTGTATTTACTTATAATTAAAAGACAGTCGAATGGACTGGAATGATTAACATAATTTACAATATTGAAATCTTTAGTCTTTATTACTTCAAGATGATACAATCCATCCGTCTCTTTAGCTATACCAATCTTCTTCTAGCTGGGAACATCCCGAATAATACAAAGGTTATTATAAAATAGCAATGAACAATGAGAAGATCTTAATAATTGGCTAATGGATATGAGGTTAATAGATAATTGTAGTGTAAATAAGACATTTTTTAGAACAAAAGTGAGTGAAAGGTGAACATTATCTATATGAGTGATAAGAATTCTTTGTGAATTAGGAAATTTAATGAATATGTTGTCTACTGATGTATATGAAGAAAACATCTCAATGGAACTGCCTATATAGTCAATAACCCAAGAATCAATAACACATTCAGTATTTTATTATATAAAATTGAAAGATAAGTGTGGCCGAACTGTTTTGGCAAATAAAGTATTAACTTGTGGCTGAACAATTATGTTATAGGAGCTTATGGTTAAATCAAGGTTAGGATTTTGTGACACTAGTCTTTGGTGAAAGAGAAAGGTAATTCATCTAAAACACTACATTGAATGTTAAATCTCACATGGGATTCAACCATATTAGAATTATTATAAGGCCTTTAAAGACTTGTTTGATTCACATTTAACACATTCCTCGGCTTAGGTTTTTAACTAGGTGGATATTCATAGTTCTTATAACATTTGTCCACAATATGGCCAACAAAGCCACAATGTGTGCAGGTAGCCCTTTTAGTACTAACTCTTCTAGTGTTTCTCTTATTATTCAATGGATTAAACATTATTTCCCTTCTTTTTTTACCATAAGGTTTATTGGTGTACTATATGTTTGAATCATATGACTGCATAGAAGCTTCAACATTGAGGCTCTGTTCATGCTGCAGTACTAACACAAATACTTTGTTCAAAGAAGGCAATGGTTCCATCAACAAAATCTATTATTTTACAACACTAAAAGACTTGTTTAGATCCCTTTAATATAGATAATATATCACTCATTGAGTAGTATTTCACTTTCATTACTCCAGCAAAAAGAGAGATATGATTTGAGAGTAATCTTCAAGCTTGCCTTACAAGCTAAGCCTCGCTGAAACAATGGAAGTCTTTGAAACCTAACCCACATTCAAGTTTTAATGAGTAAAAAGAGCTCCAACAAAACCAATCGATTCTCCCTTCATTTATTTGTTCATCCCGTAAAATGAAGCTGTCAATTTCTATAGTTTAGGAAAAATAGATATTTGCACCAAATTCATGTTTATTATATATCTAGGCAGAGACAAAACAACAAATTTTTCCTTAATCTCATTTTCGACTCTGGAGAGTTTTCTACAAGCACTTGCATAAAATTTTACAGAGACTTTTTTAACTAAGAAACCAAATGATACTTGAGAAAATAGTCCACCAAAGTCGAAAAACCAAGATATTGGTCCCGTCCTTCCTGTATTTAGACATACAACAACTTTAAAAAATGATTTTGCATTTACTTATCCAGCCCTTTAAAAATATGATAGAGGATGTATGTAAATTGATGGACTACCCCCTCATACCTCTGCAATATACATTGAATTTCCTGAATCTCTCATCTTGTTGCCTTCCCAAAAAATCAAGTTGTCATCAACAAGCAATAAATGCAAGAGATGTAGGGCCAAGCGAGCAATCCTGATACCATTAATCTTTTGTTCATTTTATGCATGTCTAAGCAAAAAAGGAAAATCTTGTGCACACCTTAACATAAACCCCTCTTTGTGTTAATTATCACATGTGGAATCCCATTTACAAAAAATTAAGTACATAACTGAAGTGACATGAGCCTTTATTAATGCAACAAAACGTGAGTGAAAACTTGATTTTAAGAGCATTCCTTCCAAATTGCCAAGACACTCATCATAGGCTTCACTAACATTGGTAGAGATGCTTGTGATTAATTTATGATTAATGATGTTTTCCATATATATATATATATATACACCTCATATAATATACGCACATTAATGGTTTTTATCTTTAAAAGAAGTTAATTCAGAAAGCATCTCAATTTTATGTACTGGGAACATTACAAATTTGGATTTCTATGCGTATGTATGTATGTATGAATGAATAATGTTGAGGAGCATGTTGCAATCCCGACTATTTGGCCATGTATAGTGTATATGATGATCATATAATATTGCAAATCTCATTTCCATCATTAATCAATAGATTATTTGATGGGCATATGCTTACACATACACACATCGATATAGAAAATTCAAGCAGAGTGGTGCACTTTGAAAATATGTGATTGGTTTCTCTTCATTCACACAGTCAAAGCAGTGATCAAATCACTCTTTATCGTATTACAGATACGATTCTAATATGTGTGAGTGCTGGATTCTGCAGTTAATATCAGAACTTACCTAATATTTTAAAAATAGTAAAAGAAGTTTTTATATTTATCCAATTAAGTAATACTAATCGATATTAATTAATTATTTATTGGGTCAACTCACACTGTATGTATCTTCTAAGTCGAGACAATTACTATAAGGTGGCAATTCCCTAGCTAAACCAACAATTATTCATTGGGTCAACTCACACAGTGTACACTGCAATTGTTGAAATGGGAATTTGAACTGTTAATTGAAATTTTGATTTTTTAAATTCATAATTAGTTGGAGGCTAAATTTTAGAATTTAATTTATTAATTTGAAATTTACCACATAGATATATATATATAAATGTTTTATAACAAGAGAATATTTGAAAAAAACAGTGTATTTTAAGAAATTATTATTATAAATTTTTTTGTTTAAAATAAATTTTGTACATACTTATGGGAATTGTTATTCAGACATAATTTATATTATAAGATAATAAATTAGTGCTCCTTCATGCAATAAAATCAATTAAAACTTTTTTGAAGAAAAAATATTATTTTTCACTAAATCAAACAAAGAAATAGAAAGTTATGAACAACCATTTGGCCCTCTCAAATGAAAAAGAGTTTCCTTTAATGATATAATTAGTAATAATTAATCATCTATTAAATTAAACAACAACAACAACAAAAAATAGCATCTTGGACAAATAAAAAGCCAGAAAATTAGAGATCTCCTCCAAATAAAATGTCTTCTACCAACAATTCAGACTTGGATATACAAAGGAAATTGCTCTCTAGTCATCCAAACGACTGAAAGTCATAACCTCAAGCATCTCCAGCAATAATACAGCTATATATATATATATATATATATATATATAAAGGTAGGAAGGTACATGCAGAAGAAAGATTTGAGTAGAGGAAGCATCTAATAGTGTTTTAGTGATTGTGATGGTGGTGATGTGTTTGCAATATATGTTGATAAAGTTCTGGGAGTTGAACCAATTATGTGTCTGTGTTTTGAGGCACAAAAACTTGAAAGGCAAAGATATATATATACAGTATTCTTGTTTGGTTCTCTGGGGTCCAACCTAAAGAAAAAGTGATCATGGAATCCCTTGCTCTAAAATTAACAAAACCTTTTTCTTTTTCACGCTAACCCACTCTACTCATTCTTTTTCTAAATTATCAAACCAAAATGGTCCCATTCATTAATTCTGCAGAACCAAAAACATTTCATCTTCATCTCAAATTCTATATATACAGTATTGATCCTCACTTTATCTTCCTCTAGTCTCTATATACACTGAGTTGGCTACCACCCATTTATTCAGAGTATATGCAGTCACCCAAGAAAGCTATACTTTATTCTCTTGCGTTATTTGTATATATGTTATAAACCGGCTTGCAATTTGAGAAGAGGAGTTCATAATGTCTCATAGTTTACTCTTGTTTAATATCCTATCAATAATCTATTTATATATGTTGAGAAAATAATTTTCTAGTATGCACACAATCATATAAACTTATAAACAAAATAAAAAAATATATATAAAAAAAACTTTCTACTCAATAAGAATTGAGAATACATCGCCAATAAAATTGTAAATCTTTATATAGATAAAGTAATAAAAAAATTTTTCAAAATATTTTTAAAATCAAATCATTTCAACAATATGTTTATTAAAATTACTTTCTCTAGTAACATATAATGTTAGTGAAGAATCTAACACAGATAATGATGGAATCATATATCTAATCAAAACGTCTGTTGGTTTTGTTAGGATAAACAGCATTGTTGACGAGCAGTAGTAATAAAGCATTTCTTGAACATGGCAGGTGGAGGTGTAAGGAAAAAAAAAAGAAGAAATTGAATGATTGCATGGTTATATGCATTGAAATTTGAAATGGAGACTCGATAAGGTAAGTACGAGTCATCATTTCTGACTACAAATCAAAAACTGATGATTAAATAATTAGAATAGAATTTTGTTTATGAACAGAGAGAGAGAATTCATGATAAAATACTTATAGGCTATATGAATAAATACTAGTAGAAGTCGAGGTGAACCAGCCAGGGTATATGTAAAATCAAACAAGTTAATGAAAGCTAAAAAGTAT